GTTTGTGAATTTTAGGAAGACAGTACAGTTTAGGAACAATTGGGTTAGAAACATGCAATTTTCTTTTAAGCTCAGGAGTGATAAGGTTGTTACAAGTTTTCGTGTCTTTGTTCATCGTTTCCATACCAAGAAGATCCAAGAAGAATAAGAATAATCAAAATTTTTTGACAGATAGAATTTTTTAAACATTTTTTTCATGTTCCTGGTATCTTACCTTACTTGAAAATTTTCTCTGGGGCGTGAGTTCTGGCGCATCCTGTATAGTGTGATGGATGGACGATAGTGTGTGTTTGAGAAGAGTAGCAGAAGGCCGATTTATTACGAATCGATCTTGGAGAGATGATGGAACGTGCGGAACGCCAGAGATTGCGTGACAGAAGGTGGCGAAAAGTACCAAGAAAATTAGGAAAATATTATTGACACGAAGAGGAAAATATCGGATAAGATGGATTTAAATCAAAGCTGAGACAACAAATTTTTATTTTTTTATTATTTTATAAATTGCGAAAAAACTATATCTCAATGATTTGAAATTTTGACCTAAATATATGTAAAATGTTCCGGGGAATCAATTGGCGTCAAGAAAATGCAAAATTTGTAATAGTTTTTGATATTTTTGACCTTAGCACAAATTTTCTCGATAACTATTTATCGTAGAGCACTGATCTTTTTTGTATATGATAGAAAATTAAATTTTCTTTCCAACGATACCTAACTCGAGAGTTTAGCACCAATAATTCCGAAGTTATTAACAAACAATAAACCGCTCCGCGTACCGAAAATCGCCCAAAATTTTGACAAAAATTGAAAAAATTAAAAACTTCAAAATTGTCCATTTGCACTCTTGGGGGTTCAAAAGACTTAATAAAGCACAAAAACATTGTAAAAATGCGAAAAATAAATTTTTGAAAAATTTTGTGTAAAATATATTGAAGGAAAACATTGAAATTATTGGTGGCTCAGCGGCATAAGGTCCCGCTTTCCAGCAGGTAAGTCCCAAGTTCGAGCAATTTTTCTCAAATTCAAATTCTAAAATAATTCAAATAAATGTCAAAAGAGGGCGGGCGCATAAGAGCGCGATCTTTAAAACATGTGCACATGTTCTAATAAGTATAAGAGAGAAAGCGCACAATACTAACTAAAATAAGCACCAATAAATGGCGGGCGTATAAAAGCGCGAACTTTAAAATAAGTATCTACAAAAGTAGATAGTGTAAAAGTTAATAGTATATAAGCAAACAAAAGGTAAGTTGAAAGTAAAATAAATGTAAGATAAGTTTTGCACTAAAAATTAAGGAATTGTTTTTTTATTAATTATTGTTATTATTACTAATAACACAAATGATTCACATAAGTGTACTAGTGAAATAGATATAAGTAAACAAAAGGTAAATAATATAAAGTATAATAAAGTAAAAGTAGCATGAAATGTAAGAAACAAAGAAGATTTACGGGACTGATGAGGATGTCATTCTTATGATATAAATGATTTTCTGTGTTTTTAATTTATTTACGTTTTATTTAGTTCTAGTCTTCTTTTTCTCTGTTATAAATACAACTTTATTTCACTTTCTTTGAGCTTCTATGTGATGATAGTGTATATTTATTCTGTCAAATAAATGAAAAAACTTAATAATAAACTAAACTTATTTGAAAAAATACATTTCCCCATTCTCAAAATTTGAACGTGGTCACAAAAAATTAAGAATACCTCTTCGCCCTCCTATGATCCTGTTTACTCCTGATACTTTTTGTTTTAAAAATTGAATTTTCGATAAAAATCGCGAAATTTTCGTAAAATTTCAAAAGTATTAGGAAGCACTAGGATCACAGAAACGCAAAGAAGTATTTTGGCGGGAAATTCAATTTTAAATTTCCCGCCAAAATACCTMTTCGCACTCCTATGATCCTGTTACTCCTGATACTTTTTAAAAATTCGGAATTTTCGATAAAAGTCGCGAAATTTTTGCAAAATTTTAAAAGTATCAGGAGTACCAGGATCACAGAAACGCGAAGAGGTATTTTGGCGGGAAATTTAATTTTTAATTTCCCGCCAAAATACCTCTTTGCGCTCATATGATCCTGTTACTCCTGATACTTTTTAAAAAAATTCGGAATTTTCGATAAAAATCGCGAAATTTTGGGAAAATCTCAAAATACCTCTTCGCACTCCTATATGATCCTGTTACTTTTTAACTAACAAATTTTTTAGATAGATCCAGAATACACCGATAGTTTTTTTGATTGATTTATTCACTTTTCTAGATAGATTTAGATGGTTTAAAAAATCCAGATAGATCTAGATGGGATATAAATTGAGGATTAAATGGTGTATTTTCTGCGAGCATGTTTAATGGATATAAAAATTAATAACAAACGTTTAGAGAATTTGTTTTATTGAATAGTACACCTAAAATTAACAATATACACTAATTATATAATCGGATGGCTTTTTATACAGCGTGTCAAGTCCCTGTACAAACATTTTGTACGACAACTAGGCCTAGTCAAAAACATAACATATAATAACCGTCCTTCGAGAATTTATGTAATATATACAAGTAGTTTTGTTTTAGAAGCTAGGATTTGTTTTTATACATTTATAAATAGTACATTGTGGTGTAATATAAACAAAACAAACAACGAAAAAAGAATTAAATAACTGTACAGTATTGGACAGAATTGGTTATGATAGGAGGTGAAGGGTTTGACCTTCGACGATCCCATCCAACACTGTACTATGCTTGGCACTTTTCTGAAATTTGTGTTAACTAATAAATTATATACACAGGGTGATTAATTTTTTTTGTGAACCAAAAGTAAAGACATGAACGTTAATATGAATAAAAATTGCACAAAACCGAGGTACATTTTCAGTCACAACCAGTCCTCGTCACTATTTACACCACTCAAATAATAAATCATTCTCTAGCCCTTTTGGCTAGAGCCTTCGCCAGCTACCAAACAAGTCCTTCGTTGAGCTGCTGGGGGTTATCAGAGAACGATCCAGGAGACATAAACTCGGGACTGCCCCCTCGGCCCCCATTCCCAGGCATCATCTGTTCAGGTCCCGGCTGTTGAGGCATAAACTGGCCTTGCTCGTTGGGCATGGTCCCAAAATCCCCCGCCATATTCATGGGACCACCGTGGTCCATGGGTCCACCTTGAAACGCAAAAATCAGTTATTTTTTATGGGTTTGAATTACGAATACCTAAAGACTAGGATACAAGTTTTAATTAAAAAAAATGGCTGTATATACATAACAGTGAGCAAAACGCAAATAAAAAAAATTAAGGCAGATAGAACATTAAATTCTCCATAATAAGAGAAAAACTATATTTAAAAAAATTTCAGACATTTAGCAATTTGCTAAAGACGCGACAAATACGGCTCTTTTTTACCGGTGGTCAAGAGACAGAAAATTAATTTAAACCTAAACGGTTGAAGATAGAGATATGGTCTCGCGGACTTTTTTGTGGGAAATTTAATTCTCTACAATTTTGTTTCCTACACTTTTTTTGTATCTTCAACCGTATTCGCAGCGTTTTCAAAAATATCGAAAACACTATTAAAAATAAATTATAAACAATTATCAGTTTGCGTTCCACCCAATATTTTTAAGAACGCTACGAATATGGTTAAAGATACAAAAAAAGTGTAAAAAACAAAATTGTAGAGAATAAAATTTGCTACAAAAAAGTCCGCGACACCATATTTCTATCTTCAACGGTTTAGGTTTAAATTGCTTTAAAGTGTCCCCCCGGTACTCAATCACCAATAAAAATGAAACGAATCCGTCGCTTGAGCTTCTTTGAACGTCTTTGAGGCCTAAACCATTAAAGATAGAGGTATGGTCTCGCGGACTTTTTACTAGAAAATTTTATTTTCTACAACTTTCTTTCTTACATTTTTCTTGTATCTCTAACCGTATTCGCAGCATTTTGAAAAACATGAAACGGAGCACAGATTTTGAATTTTAAATAATTTTTTTCTCATATTCCTCGTGAAAAATTAAGTGGTTCGTTTTTTACAGCTTATTAAGAATATAAAGCTCAACATTTTTGCATTTTTTGCAACTGACACTGTAAAACGCTCTAAGCGCCCTCATTTTTACTTTTTTTGGGTCCAAAAAATCAAGCAATTTTGTATCTCGTTTCGTCTCCTAGTATTATCGTATCAACAAGAAATTACTCCCTAGGATTTAGGGATATTCGTGAATAGGTTGCCATAAATTTGGTTAGGTTGGTTTTTGGTGACAAACAAAAGATATCGTAACTAGCGTCAAAAATTTAGGTTAAGACACCTGTCAGCTTGTGTAGATAACTCAATTGGTAGTTGACAGAAAACGTCAATCGTCAACATCAAGGGGTTACCAACCCTAGGCATTCAAAATTACTTCTGAAAATTCTAGTTACAAACAACATGAAAAACGTAATTTTCCTAAAAATTCAAATTCTAGGTGGTAATTTCTTGTTGACAAATCTCTATGTAGTTTGAATTAGGTACCTCCTTGGTTAAAGGGCATGCCTTGGCCACCGGGTCCCCCGCCTCCCGGATGATGCCCGGAGAAGAAGGGCCCATCATGGGGGTGAAATGGGGGGCCGCCGTAACCGAACTCGAATTTGCCGTCGGCGGTGGCAAAGTAGGGGAAACCCGGAGGGCCGTCTTCGAGACCGCCGGGGGAGAGGTTCATGGGGAAGCCGCGCATTTTGCGAGAGCCCCCGAAAAAGGGGCCGCGACCCATCGAAGTCAGCTGCTTGAGGCGGCGCTCTTTCGATCGCTTGTTTTGGAACCAAACCTGAAACAAAATGAAATTGAAGAATGTCACAAACTGAAAGCAAACAAAGCTAATGGATTATCCATGCGGTAGTAATAAAGCGACGCAAAATAAACTAAAATTTACATTGCACATTGTTTTAAATTTTATTACAAGTCGTAGTTGTATTCTTCGCGACATTATTTATCTAGATTTACGATCGGCTGTCGGGCTGTTTGTCGCCCAACGCGGGGCCCTCATCACCCAATCTACAACACACTCATCGTAAATCGTCCGCTTTTAGCGCTTCGCATTTTAATCATCAACAGTTAATTAAATCGTCTTTTTACTTCTAATATTTCACGAATTTTATGTGACAATAGTTGTTTTACATAATTACGACTCTTCGAGATTAATTAACACAAATTTTGACTTTGAGTATGAAATTTTGATAAATTTATCGATAAGTTAGACAAAAAAATATACAGTATGATGAAAAAAAGGCGCCCGTGTTAACCTACACGTTATAAGTGGTCTTTTATTAAAGACGAATTTGAAGACCAAAATTGGATTTGTGCTCTTATCAGTAAGATATAGACTTTTCTTTTTAGAAAAGAGAAATCTATATAATTAACAGTTTTAAAATAATTTCATTTTTAAAGTCTAGATTTTGATACTGTTGACGGTGTTCTTAAAAAAAATGTGTAAAAAGTCTATTGAAATAAACTTTATTGAAGATTTTAGGATACCATTTCTTGGCTCCAAAGAAAATTTATCAATGTTGCAACATTGCAAATATCCTAGAATACAGAAAATGTCCAAGTAATATTCAATTATTGGAAACCGTAGCAACAAAAAAATCAATTTTCAATGTTGTTTGTTCTGTGAAATTTGAACGATTAAAGTCAAAAAGGTTTCCTAGATACGAAAAATACCTGAGTGAAATAGTTTTTTAGTAAAAGAAAATTGTGCAATATTGCCGCTTTGTGCTGTTAGACAAACTGTTTAAATTTTAAAAAGAATCTATTTAGACTATTTTTGGAATGATGGTCACAATGTTTCAATAAAAAAAGACGCGCCTGTTTCAATCGTGGACGCCTTTTTTTCATCACCCTGTATATGGCCTGAAAAAGTTTGCTTTTGAATCCAGGAGAACGGTTGATCAATATTTTAGAAAATTCATAGTTTAAATTTTTATTTGTAAAAAAATCGAAACAAATATATTTTTGTAAAATCGTCTTAAAATTAGATCATTTATTTAATTTGCGGGCGTAAATAGTGTTTTTTGCGCCCAAAGTCCTCAAAAACCAGCAATTGTAATATCTTTTATTGAAATATGTAGTTACAAACAATTAGCTAATGCCTAATAATAAAAACTAAACTAAAAAAAATAACAAAATCATAGAATAATGAGACCATAATAATAATTTTCTTCCAAAAATTCTAAGATTTAAGATGTTTTCTGATTGCATTGTGTTACGCAAAATGTAATAAATAGTGGTTTACAGTATTTTTCATGTCAATTATTATTGTTTCGAGGAAAAAAACATAGGTGTTCCATTTGAAAAACTAAATTTGGTAGCATTTCGGGCAACACCGGATGTGCTAAAAAAATTTGATACATTTACTAACAAAGACAAGAATGAATATTATTACTTAAATATTTACTTTTTGAAAAAAAGAAGTAATTTTACGTGTTATCAGTCGCGACTTGGACCGAACGCCTTGTATTTTTTAATTTTACCATTTAAAGGTCATTAATGGACTTTTTCAACTCGCTGGGACACCTTGTACAGGGTGGGGCATCGCTTACGCGCAGAAAAGAAATCCCCACTTCTAATTAAATAAAATTGTTGAATTTTCTCACACTTACCTGGGCATTAGTAAGGTACATGCTCTAATTTTTTTCATTTACAAACAAAGCCAAAAAAAAATAAAAAGTAATTTTCTCCCAAAAAGTTTGATTCTAATTTTTGTACTGACCTATGCAGATTCACTTCCTATAATTGTTTACAAAATTAGAAAAAAAAAACAATTGGATTTTGAATTAAACGCAATTTTTATCTTAACTTTGAAAATCATTTTTATTTATGACCATCGTAAATTTAGAACTGCAATTGGGGTAAGATTTCAAGGTTTACAACAAAAAAACCCTTTAAAGCGGTCGGCTACCAGTAAATGATACCATTTTGTCATAAATCACGGGTCCAGTTTATGTTTAAATAAAAAAAAAATATTTGGCTAACCAAGTCAAAATTTGAAATTGTGATTCAGATTCAGATTCATTTAGTGTAAAAACTTTATAGGTAAATTAACATAAAGTATTTTCATAAAACACACAAAACTGTTACGGACTCATTTATTATCAAAAAAAATTAGAAAAATTCTCAAATTATACCCTATCAATAATTGGTTAGGTACACGAAATATCGCCAGTTTTAATTAATTTGAAGTCGCGATGCCCCACCCGGTATAAATCTGGTCAACATGGTGGCTAATCTTTTTTGTTTTTGATAATTAGTGTTTCTGGTGGTGAGGGCGTGGGTCCTGAAAAAATTCTTTTATTCAATATATTATTTCTGAAACATAAGCGTGACGAATGCGAGAACCCACCCCCTGCGTTCACCTTTTGTGGTCGGGGCTCCCGGGGCGCCCTTTATGTCTTGCCGCCGGTGGTATCCCGCAGATGTTACTGAAAAACGTTAGCAACCTTGATTTTGTCGCAAATTATGACAAGTGCACCCCAAAATCGGTCAATTTTCCGGCACAAATGTCGCATATAATAAGCCCTATATGGGGGATGGGCGTAACGTCAGTATGTCACTTTTACGGGGGATGAAAAAGGGTAATTTTTTCTCGTTTTGTGTTATGATTTAAAGTCGAATTTATGTCGAGGTAATTTATGGACACGCAAAGTAGGCTGTTGAAAAACAGCACACTAGCGCTTTATACACACACACATATACAGGTTGGATTATATGGGAATTCATAGCCTCCTCAGTTTTGAGGCGGTCGTCATAAACAAGTCACACGAGCCGTAAAACCGAACGGCGGTCCTTTTTCACATATATAAATATTATTTTTAATATGTGTTTTACGACTTTATAAATATTTTATATATTCAGGTGTTAAGATTTTTGTATGTGTGATATTTTATAAAATCGGTACCCTTTTTCGAATCGGGCCGTGGAAATATAAATGTCAAATTTTATTTTGAAAGATTGAAGGGACACGAAGATACTTAAACGGCCGTTCTGTGAAGTGATAAAAACATCGCAGGCGCTTTGCTGCTTACGTATGGATTATGGGGAGATTTTATGACCGACTCGCCGGTTGGTCATGGCCAACTTAATGCGGCGAATTAAATTCATAAAAACGAAATGTTTTTTTTTGAGAGATTAGGGTCGTGACAGAGGAGGGTAAAGCTGCGGTTTGGGCATAAAAAACGTCAAGTTTTGTTGCTCCAAATGCATTTTTCGAAAATTTCATTGACTACATTCAAAAAAATTATACATTTTTGCATACCTTTGCCGGCTTCACAAGCAATTTCTCGATTTTTGAAGACAACAATGACTTTGCATCGTCATTTGACATTGCAGGTGTCGTTACGGGTCACTAATATCTACTGTTGTAAACTTGCTTAGGTATAAAATCCTCTGAATTTCTCTTAAAGCAATTAAACCTACAATCAGAGTCCGCCTCTGGACCGAGAATACAACTCTACATAAAAAAAATTGTCTTTGTCTTAAAATTTATTTTGTCATTTTTCCATTCTTTAAAATAAAGAAAAAATGCCCATTTTCCTTAAAAAGTTTGCTTTTGTCATTCACTATGCTTAAAAAAAAAATTACCCATATTAAGTATAAGTAAAAAAAAGTGGAAAAATAATTTTCTAACTTTTTTGCTACAGGCTATTAGAAGAGAAAATAAGGAAGCTATATCCTAAATTGTAACTGTGTTCAATGTTATTGGTGGATTTTATTAGTACCTTTACTAAATAATTAAAAAAAAAAACATACAAAATTATCAGTTTCAATAAATAGACAAAAAAAATGTCAAATGTCAAAAAATACATGTCAAAATTTTTTGACAGATAGAATTTTTTAAACACTTTTTTCATGTTCCTGGTATCTTACCTTATACTTGAAAATTTTCTCTGGGGCGCGAGTTCTGGCGCACCCTGTTTAGAACATTAATAGATACTAGTCTAGGCCACCACCTAAAATTATTTTTAACTATACAGCGTGTCTCAAAAATAAGTTACAATACAAAGTTGTGTTTTTTTGAATGAAACACCATATGTTTCTTAGCGTTTTTGGATGTAGATTTTTATGACAATGTTTTTAAGCTAAACTTTTATTAGTCGGTTTTGCTTAGTTTGAAAATTAAGACGGTTTTTTTGACGAAAACATGCACTTTTTAAAAATTTATTACACAAAAACTACGACATATAGAAATATTTTTTTACCACCGCAAATAAGAAGATACAAGCTATAAGGTTGTAACATTTTTTTAGTGTGTTGCATTTGCAAAGATAAAAAATGAGGCGTTTGTTAAAAGTTCAATAACTTAAAAAAATTAAATGAAACACTTGTTTTTGCATTTAAAAGATTATTAAATTGTCTTTCTAAAATTATTACTTTTAGGTGTTTATAATCAATAACTAAAAAGATATTTAACGTTAAACATTAAAAAAAAATAATTACTTTTGTTTCATAGCCAAAAAGTGCACAGTTGCACAAGAGATGGAAGAAATATCACTTAATAATCACATTTGTGTTAAACTAAATCCATTATTTTTTATTTTTACAATAAAATAATTCGAATTTCAGTATTTATAACGACTTTTACAATCTCTGGATAAAAAAAACGAATAAGTGATCCGTGGTGGAATTACTATGGTTGCCATAGCAATAAACAATGCTCAGATATTGATAATCATTATTGCTACAATCAATCAATTCTAGACATTAAAAGTGTATTTTTTTAGATAGACAATTTATCAATCTATTAGATGCAAAAATAAAAAATAGTGTGTGCCATTTAAATTTTTTAAGTTATTTAACTTTTAACGAACTTCTTAATTTTTTAATCTTTACAAATGCAAAACACTAAAAAATTGCAACAGCTTTAAATTCTGTACTTTCTTCTTTGCAGAAGTAAGAAAAAATTTGTTCTCGATGTCTTAGTTTTTGTGTAATAATTTTTTAAAAAGTGCAAACTTTTTATTTATTTTTATTTCTAAAACTAAGCAAAATCGACTAATAAAAATTTAGCGTAAAAACATTGTTTTAAAAGGCTACATCCATGCTGTATTTTTGAAAATAATTTTGGGTGATGCACTAGATTAGTATCTAACAATGTCCTATATATTTTTTTAAATTTTGCCACTGAAAGCTCACTAATGGAGTTTTTCAACTCGCTGGGACACCCTGTAGTTCTGTCAATAATCGCAATCACTATTTTTACAGAGCGCAGCATTTTTCCATTTATTTTTTTTTGTCGAAGTTATTTAATGTGATAAAAGTGGGTGTTTTATATTTATCAACCGTAACAAAATTTCTTTGAAATATGCCACACACAATCAAACAGAAACAGCCGCCATAAATTTGATTTTATGAACAAATCATTTAATTTAATTAAAAATGTAGGTGTGAAAAAGCGATAAGAAAACATAACTGTTCCTGCACGTTTATTTTTCACACAATTGAAACAATCAACTTTTGCACAAAAAACATAATTGGATTACCAACTTCAAAGACACATTTCAGTATTTCTTTTCCAGTCCCAACTCGCCTAATTTCCTCTCGTCTTGTTTAAGACAGTGTCGACGTCGCAATTAGAATTTTCGAAATTCTCTCGTCACCCAAGTTATTCACTTTAATTTTCTCTGGAATGTTTTATTTTCGAGGGTAGAGACACACACATTGTAACAAAGAAAGAAGATGCGACGCTCAGTTCCGGAGGACCGACTCCGGGATGATTTATGTGACGGGTTTTCGAAACGTCAAGCAAGAAAAAAAAAAAGAAAAAAAATATTTCCTCGCGAACATAATTTGTCTCAAAAATTATGCATGTCCTGTCAATTATTGCAATTTATCGATGAACTTGTGTTCATAAACAACATGATTTATCCGATAGGGACATTGTCTATGAATAATTTTTTCCCAAAGATTTTTTTTCAACGTGTGAATCGCAAATTAATAAAGCACGATTTATTGAAATGACATTTGACACGAGATTTGCATAATCTCTAGCATTTCAAATTAAATTTTCCAAAATTTTAAAGCGGCTTTTTGACAATTTTTGACACGAAAGATACATAAATACTAATTTTTTCAAGATACAGTCGAGTCAAGTTTTATCCACACCCCCAAAAACTTTTTTTTTCTGATTAAATTTAACTAGAAAAATTTATAGGCGATTTTTTTCAAATAGAAAAACCTTGAGGATAACATTTTTAAGTTTTAAAATAACTTTTGCTTAATTAATTATAATTTAACTTAAGCAATCTTCGTCTTGTTTTTTCATGAGTTCTCTATATGTGGTAGAATTTTAAAATGCTTTCACAAAAGAGTTCCATTAGAATGATGGTTTTTGGTATATTATACAGCGTGTTCCGTCTAAACCCCACATTAGAAGTATTGAGAGTTGGAATAATCGTATTTATTTGAAAATTGGTACATAGCCATAATCCATTAAGTTCTTCGAAATGAAAATATTTTCAAGATGGCGGCACTTCCGGTTATACCGGAAGTTGGTCTCAACTTTCTTATTTTAAATGGAAAGCTATATTTTTTATTGCGTTTCTGGATTAGTCGGGTTATTTTAAGGGAGTTTTCATCAGCTTTCCCTATACCTAAATTTAGCCGTTTTTGAAATATTTGGAGTTTTTCAAAAATTTTTGGATCTACAACTTCCACTTTAAAAATCGGTAACTCTGCCATTTTTAAAAATTTTGGATTCGTTTTTTGGCGTTTAAAAGAGAAATCTTAGATCTTTCTTCTGGTGTTTTCAAATTTTGAAAAAAAAATAACATCCCAAAATTTTAATTTTTGTATAGCTATGTAATAAATACTCCTAATACTTCTAATGTGGGGTTTAGACAGAACAACCTGTATGCAATAATAGTTTCATTTAGCAAGAGAGAAGTTGATGCCCTGAGCCACCCTGTATGTGGTGTGGGGACCACACGCGCTATTACGAAACGGGAACACACACCGATTCGATTAAATTTTTTCTCTATTTTAACATCGCGCTATTTAAAATCTGTCAACGGACGTAATGGACCGTAATGAAAATTTTTGTGCCCGGAAGTTCGCAATTATTCCTCTCCGAACTGAAATAACTCAAATAGTGGCAAGATAAGAACAACTAATAAAGTTGTTTAACAATTTTTAACACGAACACACCTTATCTGAAATTAAATCGAATAGACAAAAAAAATCGACATAACGTTTTGTTGAAACAATTATCTCGACATGAAAACACCTTTTTTTTGTGTTTTTGCTCTGATTTGCGCTTTCTATCTCGGTTGTGTCTCTTCGAAAACCGAAATAACTGACGGCGACGTCGCCACCAAGTTGATTTGAAGGTGATTTCATGCGCGTCGTTGGAAATTGTGCAGAACTTCTTAAAGGTGTGGTCCAACATTACATACAGGGTGTTTCGTCTAAACCCCACATTAGAAGTATTGGGAGTTGGAATAATCGTATTTATTTGAAAATTGGTACATAGCCACAAACCATTAAGTCCTCCTAAATGAAAATATTTTCAAGATGGCGGCACTTCCGGTTATACCGGAAGTCGGTCTCAACTTTCTTATTTTAAATGGAAAGGTATATTTTTTACTGCGTTTTTGGATTAATCGAGTTATTTTAAGGGAGTTTTCATCAGCTTTCCCTATACCTAAATTTAGCCGTTTTTGAAATATTTGGAGTTTTACAATAATTTTTGTATCTGCACCTTCCACTTTAAAAATCAGTAACTCTGCCATTTTTTAAGATTTTGAATTCGTTTTTTTGGCGTTTGAAAGAGAAAGCTTAGATCCTTTTTCTGGTGTTTTCAAATTTTGAAAAAAAAATATCATATCTCAAAATTTTAAGGTTACTTTTGTAATAATTCAAATATTCATAACTCAATTTTTTCAAATGAAATACCCCAATTTTTATTTTACTATATAGAAGAGAATTTAATTGTGCATTGATCTGTATTAACATTCCCTTTACCTAAATTTAATAATTTTCAAGTTATGGACTTTCTTTAAGACTACAGAAAATTTATTACTAGCTACACCCGTTTTCACATAGTTTGCTATGGAAATCAAAAATGTCAAAATTTTCTCTAAACAAACGTCAACAGTAAATTACTATTTGACAAATAGTGCCAAAATATGAATAATCAAAGTTATACAAACTTAATTATTATTGATAGGTTCTACCATGCGTTCATTATTTAAAGCTAACAAGTGAGAAAAAATTATTTTTGTTTAATGAACGACATCATAATTTTGTTACACTCTTCATAAATACAAAATAAATTAATTAAATCTAAGTTTGAGTAGCTTTGACTCCATATTTTGGCACTATTTGTCAAATAATAAGTCACTGTCGACGTTTATTAAGAAACAATTTTGACATTTTTGATTTCCATAGCAAACTATACGAAAACGTAATAGATTTTCGACAGTCTTAACAAAAAGTCACCATAACTTAAAAATTATTAAATTTAGGTAAAGAGAATGTTAATACAGATCGATGCAGAATTAAATTCTCTTCCATTTAGTAAAATAAAAATTGGGGTATTTCATTTGGAAAAATTGAGTTATGGGTATTTGAATTATTGCAAAAGTAACCTCAAAATTTTATAGTTTGTTAATTTCTTTTTTAAAATTTGAAAACACCAGAAGAAAGATCTAAACTTTCCCTTTCAAACGCCAAAAAAACGAATTCAAAGTTTTAAAAAATAGCAGAGTTACCGATTTTTAAAGTGGGAGGTGCAGATCCAAATTTTTTTTAAAAACTCCAAATATTTCAAAAACGGCTAAATTTGGGTATAGGAAAAGCTAATGAAAACTCTCTTAAAGTAACCAGATTAATCAAAAAATGCAGTAAAAAATATAGCTTTCCATTTAAAATAAGAAAGTTGAGACCGACTTCCGGTATAACCGGAAGTGCCACCATCTTGAAAATATTTTCATTTAGGAGGACTTAATGCATTATGGCTATGTACCAATTTTCAAACAAATATGATTATTCGAACTCCCAATACTTTTAATGTTGGGTTTAGACGGAACACCCTGTAGAAATTGTGAAATTTTCAATTCTTACCTGTATCACCCTCATCGGTAGACCCGTTTCTTTCGCCAGCTGCTCCCTGATGTGTCTTGTGGGTTTCGGCGTTTGTGAAAAGGCCGTCTTCAGTATTTCTAATTGTTTTGCTTTAATCGTCGTTCGAGGGCCACGACGTTTCGAACCGGCACTGCTATCATCAGGACTTTTATTCTCCGTTTGGGAATCGCGCATTTCGGCATCACCATCAAGGGAATTCTGATCTTCAGAGTCGTCTTGACCGGTTTTCGAATCCTTTAAAAGAAAATTGAAAAATAAAATAAAATACAAGGACGTGTTTTTTCATCAGATTCAACCAATCGATTATACACACTCAAACCGCAATAATTATGCAAAAAACCATAAATAATTTCAGATGTTTACACTAGGGTAAAAAAATCTAGCAACACTATAATTAATTAATCATGAGAGCGGTCTGTAATTAAATTTTTTTTCCTCACCTGTCCTATCGAACTGCTAATGTCCGAATGGGGTAAAGAATTATTGTTTGTTTCCCCGGGGGCTGGGGGTAAGGAACCGTGCAACGTGTGATGTTTCAGTACCGAAGAGGCCGTACTGTTGTCGTCGTCTTCTTCGTCTTCCGATGCTGATCCCATTAATGAATCTGGAATTTAAAAACATCGATCGTAATTTGAACACCCGGAGCGAAGTTTTCCGAATATTTTTAGTTTTAAAATTGTAAAAACTTAAATGTGGATTTTACTCCAAAATATAGTCTTAATTTTGTGGTAGAGGAGGTCGGGTACGATTGTAACATTTTCACTGAAGATTTTTTTATTTTTAAACTGTGTGTAATAATAAAAAAGTAAAAAAATACCCCGATGTTGGCCAACCATATAGCTTCAAAGAGAATAGTATATTCTGTAACAAGTTTAGGTTACATAATATGAGTATTCTGTAATTAAAAATCAACAAGGATATTGTTATTCTATAATAGTCGTAGAAAAATAATATTATTTACATTGGTTGTTTCAGTCACCAGAACAAAACACAACATAATTTCAAATTAACTATATTTTTTTGTGATAAATGTGAATATGAAATGGTTATACAGTAGAACCCCTCTATAACGAGAACTCAAAGTTTTTACACATGTACTATGTAAATTATTTATTAAATACGAATATTAAAGAAGTTTAAAATAATATTTAAAAAGAAAACCTGTAATTTTTGTTTGTTTTCTGTAATGAAGCATTTTTATCTTTCTTTAAAATTGTTTTAAATTTTTCTCTTTGCAGATTACAGCTTGTTTTTTACCACTTTCGAACTCTTTTTCTTTAATAGAAAATAATTTTCTTTTCGAGAATGACATATTGATACAGAAAGACTTGAAAAGTTATTCAAAACTGAGAAAATGAAAAAAATAAGACCATTAGCACGCAAAAACAACATTTCCAAATAAATTCTAGTACACAATACGTAATGGAGACTCCAGAAAAATAAAGTAAAGAGAGAGAATTTTTCCATTTTTCTCAAACAGGTTATCATCTAAGGATTACAACTATCTACTTTATAATAAATTTTTTCAAATAAATTTTTTTGACATAAATTGCAATTTTGACAAAAAAATCGCATAACTCAAAATTTCGTTTTCAAAATCCGATGACATTTTAATTTATATTAAAATTATTTTCTTAAATTGTCCAATTTTAACTTGAACTGAAATTTCAAATCGGAAATTTGTGATTTAAAGAAAATATGCACAAATATGCAATACCTATTTCCTAAAATATGCACGAAGTTGCCAAAATATGCACTTTTTATTTGGCTTATTTTAATCAAAAAACATTAGATATGCATTGAAAAATTACAATTTTGATGATATACTTCTTAATAAAAATTATGCATTTTGCATATAATCCGAGCCTTAATTATCAAAACTGCCTTAAAAATTATTCAAAACATATTAACAACAATATCTTTATCAATTCTATTTTTACCTCGACTTTTAATAGACATTTTAATCAAAATTAATGAAAAAGCAAAGCTGTTAGTACATTGTATTAAAATTACTATGGTTGAATTTGAATTTCTTTGACTTAAAAACAAAAAAGTAAATTTGAAATATTTCTCCCAACAAAACAACTAACCAACTAATTGTTGGTTTTAGCATTTTTTTCAATTTTCAAATAATTAATTTTGCTTTGTTTCTTTTAATTTCACTGCCTAAAAACAGAAAGATAAATAGATGGTGACGCCACAATGATAGTTATAATATAATCAATTGGAACAAACAAAAAATATAGTACATAATTTATTAATAATTATTATTCCTTTTATTTGAAATTTTTGCAATTTTCAGTCATTTTACAGAAAATTACTCTTACAAAATTACAGTTTTCAAAACTATTTACTCTACCGTTCCGTAGCCAGTTCCAAAATGAAAAAAAAATTGAATTTTTTTACAATTTGATGTTGTTCCTGAATTAAAAAAGTACTTCACACACACAGTAAGACAGAGTTTTTATCTCATTTTCAGTATTTGTAACGGATTGCGAAATTCAATAGTTTTTATTTTATAAAATCAAAATATTCTTCCGTACAGTTTTTTTATAAAAAAATTAAATGGCCAAAAATAGAGGTTGTTTTAAATTTATTTTTATACGGCACGGACAAAAATTTCAAATTGCAATATATTGCTGCTACGGCCCTGAAAACGTTATGATATTTTTTTCAGAATTTTTAAATAACGATTTATTTTTTTATTCAGTATAATTCAACCTTAAACCAAGTTCAATTAATATTTCAAACACACATATGCATCCCCTTTTCGAACGATTCTGTTTACACGAAACCTTACACATGTTCGGCTAATTCCTTCCTCAACCACTCGAATCGAGTGTCGGACGTAGAGAAGGGTGTAAGTTATATGTGTGAAGGGGCGGGTGGCTCTTTGATCAATAATCAACGTCAAGTGGCTGCAAGGGACACCGCATTCGCACTCTACTCTATTTACCATTAACATTACTACAACCTTCTCCAATCGATTGAAGAAAATTTCAACTATACAGGATGCGCCAGAACTCGCGCCCCCAGAGAAAATTTTCAAGTAAGGTAAGATACCAGGAACATGAAATTTTTTTTTGACATTTGACACTTTTTATATCTATTTAAGGATACTGATGATCTTGTATATGTTTTTTTACAATTATTTAGTAAAGGGACAAAAATTTTGACAATAAAAGCCACAAATAACATTGAACAGAGTTACAATTTTGGATACAGCTTCCTAGTTTCCTCTTTTAATAGCCTATAGCAAAAAACTTGGAAAATTATTTTTCGAAATTTTTATAGATATTTTTTTTTTAACATTTTTTCCATGTTCCTTGTTTCTTCGCAGGCATTCTTTGAAACGTGGGCCAATTACAGCCCCGTACCTGGTGACCCCGCATGGGGTCCATCGTGAAACAGGCCCCAATTAGTACCAAACCTGCTGGGAAACAAGGCATTAATCACATCCCTTCGCCCCCTGCGCCCCACCGACGAGAAAGACGACCATTCACACCTTTTACACCCACGAAAATCGACAATGATATACGCGTGGTGACCTCAACGAGGTGACCTTCGACCGGCACACGACAACCACTAACTAGATGACAATTTTTTTTGTTGTTCGTTTAAGATACAGAGAACTACATACTAGGAGACGAAACGAGATACAAAATTGCTTGATTTTTTGGACCCAAAAAAAGTAAAAATGAGGGCGCTTAGAGCGTTTTACCGTCTCAGTTTCAAATCGTTTTTAATTAATTTAAATTCAACCAGTTTACTAATTGCTTGGAAAAAAATGCAAAAATGTTGAGCTTTATATTCTTAATTAGCTGTAGAAAACGCACCACTAAATTTTTCACGAGGAATATGAGAAAAAAATTATTTAAAATTCAAAATCTGTGCTCCGTTTCATGTTTTTCAAAATGCTGCGAATACGGTTAAAGATACAAGAAAAATGTAAGAAAGYAAGTTGTAGAAAATAAAATTTTCTAGTAAAAAGTCKGCGAGACCATACCTCTATCTTTAATGGTTTAGGCCTCAAAGACGTTCAAAGAAGCTCAAGCGACGGATTCGTTTCATTTTTATTGGTGATTGAGTACCGGGGGGACACTTTAAAGCAATTTAAACCTAAACCGTTGAAGATAGAAATATGGTGTCGCGGACTTTTTTGTAGCAAATTTTATTTTCTACAATTTTGTTTTTTACACTTTTTTTGTATCTTTAACCATATTCGCAGCGTTCTTAAAAATATTGGGCGGAACGCAAACTGATAATTGTTTATTATATAATTATATTTTATTATATTTATTATATAATTTATTTTTAATACTGTTTTCGATATTTTTGAAAACGCTGCGAATACGGTTGAAGATACAAAAAAAGTGTAAGAAACAAAATTGTAGAGAATTAAATTTCCCACAAAAAAGTCCGCGAGACCATATCTCTATCTTCAACCGTTTAGGTTTAAATTAATTTTCTGTCTCTTGACCACCGGTAAAAATGAGCCGTATTCGTCGCGTCTTTGAACGTCTTTAGGACCTAAACCATTGAAGATAGAGGTATCGTCTCGTGGACCTTTTTCTTGGAAATTTCATTCTCTACAACTTTCTTTTTTATATTTTTCTTGTATCTTTAACCGTATTCGTAGCATTTTCAAAAATATGAAACGGGGCGCAAATTGTTAAATGTTAATAAAATTTTTGCATTACCTTTATCTCCTATTATGGAGAATTGAATTCTCTATCTCTATCTGCCTTTATTTTTTTCTGTTTGCGTATCCGTAGTTTAAGAAAATGAAAAAGTGCACTTACTTGATTTGAAATTGAATGTTGGCGATACGCTAGCGACGGGTGCGAGGCCTTTAAATATCGATAATTCGGAACTGGACCCACCTGACAAAAATAAAAAAAACACCCTGTATATGTTGTGTATTATTTCAGAAACAAGTACAAATTATAAAAGACAGTTTTGTGATAAAGGGCGACGTCCGTGGCGTCAGGTAAGTCTTGCGGTCCGTGTTTATACCCCGTGGTAAGACCTTTAACCCTTATCCTTTTTGGTGTCAGTGCGGTGTCAGAGCTGTTGTCTGTAGCAAGCTTTAACACCGCAGGCTAGGACCGAATCACGTCAAAAATATACACGTAACGTGTATGAAATACTTACTACTATAGTTACTTTGATTATTATTATAAAATTCTGGTGTGAACATCACACGACTTTACTTATCCTACTTATTTGGAAAACATCTTAATGACAAATTCACGGTGCGACCGATTTTTACCAAATGTTTCGTGCTGTGTCTCCACCCTATAACTAACTTACACACGAAATCTCAAGTTTCTAGCTCTTATTGTTCTCGAGATATGCTGTTTACAGACAGACAGACACACACACGACTCAATGGCCCAAACCAATTTTTTGGTGTCTTGAGGCTATAATTCGTTCAGAAATGTAAAAATATGGGTAGGTCAAATTTCAGCCGATTACATTAATTTCCTTAAGGATAAGGAAAGTAAAAATTAAATAAGGTTCATAATTAGTTTATTTTTTATAATAGTTAATAACAAAATAAGAATACAGCCACCCTAAACATTCGTGCAGAAAAAAAAATTATTAATAGAAAAATCTTGTAAGTTATAACTTGTATTATTAACAGTGTTAAGTATATCCTTTTATTTGATACTGGGATATCATATTTTCTCGTTTAACTGAAAATTTTGCTTTTTTACATAGAGAATTGATTTATTTAAAAAACAATATACTTTCTCAGTTTTGTATTCCAAATTTTGCAAAATATGTAATAAACATTAAAGCATTATAAAAGTTAAAAATGTCAATTTAACTCACAAACTAGTGGTTTTCGAAAAAATTATAGACTTAAAATTTGTTTGGATCTCTAGTTTTCTTAATTCAACAGTATGGTACCATGAATTCCAATCATAAAATTATAGTTATACGTATTCAGAGCTGTTAAGAAGGCCATAACGACCAAGGGTGTTGTCCTTCGTCGGGCCTCAATCCTCCCGCGGTTGTTATGACCCTTAACAGAACGGTTTTTCGTCGTATTAAATTATCATATTAAAAAATATTAATTTTCAAAAAATGTCAATATTTGCGTTGATTGACAGTAATAAAAAGTCTACGAAATGTCAAAAAAATGGCCGTTGGGGGAGCGACAAGTCCGCGCTCCAATGGAATCTGTATATTTTTGTATACAAAAATTTATTTTTGTGTTTTACGAGTTGTATAATATTTTTTTTGTTGATTGTATTTTTTCCAAAAAACTAAACCAAAAACATCAAAAATTGTAACATTTTATAAGCAAATATAATTTTATTTATTAAAAAATAAATATTTACATTTGGGTTAGATAGTTATTTTCAATCTTTACTTTACAAGAAAATTACAATAACTCTTTAATGTTTCTTCAATACTTCGAATAAAAAACACAAGGATTACTTTTATTCTCTATTGATTATAGTTCTCTATTATTCTCTATTACTTTTTTGCTTTGAGAAAACCCCTTGAGAATTTCCTATAATCTTCTCTTCAAAGTTGTTTTGGATGGAGTTTTTAAAAACTGACTTCTTCTTGCAAATTCATAATCTTTTGGAGAAGTGTATTTGTAACTTCAGACCATATTGGGTTTTTTTAGGGAATAATTATAAATTTGCTCAAGTAAAAACACAGTCCTTGGTTCTAAGTCCTTTATTGCATCTGACTCAATATTCAGTTGTCAATTTTTTCCTACATTTTCTTTTTTTCAAGTTTATTTTCGTACAGCTTATTCAACTTTTGAAATCTTATATTTGCTTCCTGTAATTTTTTTCAAAATTTTAAATTTCATCTAGTAAGACAAATTTTTCTTCCGAACTTATTGCATCTGGAACATTTTCTAAATCAAAATCATGAGTATCACGTACTTTTAAATCGCTTTGTTGATCAAAATCAAATCGAAATGGACTTGAAATTAAATAATTTTTGTCAAATGAGTCTACAGATTGGAGACAGGGGATTATTTAAAAACGAGTAATTCTTTTATAATTTAACAGCAAGGATGGAACAAAATTTGGTAACAATTTTTGTTTTTAACATCTTCTTTCTCCCCTTGTCCACAGTTTGGAACACATTAAATTTGAATACTTGGCATTTTAAGAATTATAATGTAATGTATTGATTATAATGTATTGATACAACGTTTCTTAAGCTGAAAAAATAGATTGGTTGTGTGACAGTTTAATATTTGATTAAATATGTCAACAATTGTCACATTTAGTTTCCTGCAAATTTTCAAATTTCACTAAATACACTTTGCTTTTGAGATGACGTCTGTCATCTACCAAAATTTACCATTTTGACAACATCACGATTTTGGGCTATTGGATAGACTTTATATTACTGTCAATCAACGCAGACGACGCTTAAACTGTCAAAACTGTCAAAAAGCCGGACGTAAAATGAAAGTCGGGCTGTTAAAACCTCTTAACAGTCCAGTGTGATACCTAAGTGATATTGACACTTTAACGATTGTCAATTGTTGAATGTTATTTCTACCATAACAACAAGGGATGACGAAAAAGAAAAAAAAAACAATCTTAAAGGACTAGAGCAATTATGGTGTAAAGGCTCCTCTTTAAAATTAATTCTCAATAATATTTCAAAAATGCTATACAGGGTGCGCCAGAACTCGTGCCCCAGACAAAAATGCCATATAAGGTAAGATACCAGGAACATGGAAAAAATGTTAAAAAAAAATTTCGAAATTATGAGGGTTTAAAGTTTGCACTTTGACTCTATTTATTTCTGTTGAGAAAATAATTTTACAAGTTTTTTTTGCTATAGGCTATTAAAAGAGGAAACAAGGAAGCTGTATCATAAATTGTAACTCTGTTCATTGTTATTTGTGGCTTTCATTGGCAAAATTTACCTTTACTAAATAATTAAAAAAAAAACATATACAAGATCATCAGTATCATTAAATAGACATAAAAATATGTCAAATGTCAAAATTTTGTGACGGATAGAATTTTTTAAACATTTTTTCCATGTTCCTGGTATCTTATCTTACTTGAATTTTTTTTCTGACACACTGTGTATTGTAAATCTAATCACAATATGTATGTATTTTTAAAGCTCAATAAAGATGTACAATTTTTCCTCAGTTGTACACTGATGAATATTTATTTTTGAAGTACGAAACCGTGTTATTTTTAAATTTAATTTGTTTAAAAGCTTTTTATGATTCCAATTTTTTGATATTATTTATTGATCATGAATGAAATTTATTTACGAGCTTAGTGTGAATAAATTATGACTTATAATTCAAATATGTATTATATTTTATGTAAAAATTTCTTTTATTTATTGCGCTTTTTTCTAAAATTCACATTCACAATAGATTTCTTTAGAAAAGTGGTTTTGATAAAGTTTAGCGAAATTACGTGAAGACAGGAGGTAAATACGTGTCTATAATTTGTTGGAAATTTTAACACAATAAAAAAAATCAAATGTCAAAAAATAAATGCCAAAATTTTTGATAGAATTTTTTAAACATTTTTTTCATGTCTTTGGTATCTTATCTTGAAAATTTTCTCTGGGGTTCTGATACACCCTGTAGAGTTATACTTTTTAAAAACGCTATTCCTTTTCTGTTTTTAAAATCAGTAACAAAAATTTTTCATTCACCATCACCATGGGCAAACATGACGCATCCTGTAGGTACAGGATTAGAAACAAACTACAATATTCTCTGTTTAGAAAAAAAGCCATGTCTATGATGAAATTTTCCCAAATAATTTCGGAACACCTGTATATTGTTAGAAAGAAGAGACGAAGAAAGAAAACCGGCCAACCAGTGGACGCCCACGCACCGAAACTAATATAATGCGAAACATAAATAATGATACGTGAATATTTATTAACACTTTGTGTTATTAATATGTTACTAGCAAGTGGTGGAACCAATTTAATGTGAGATATTGCCGGTATGTGTGTGAGTTAATACCGACGAGAGGATGCGGCCGTGGGAAATTATTTTTATTTTTTATTTCTTTTTTTAAGAAATTTTGTTTTTGAAAAATGAACAAACAACACACTACTTCATCGTGTTGCTTGTACAAGCTGTCAGAAAGTTTATTAATGATGGTAATTAATAAAGTCAGACAAGTGGCGCAAGACACCTTTGATGTCTCAAAATAGCCAAAATTACAGTCCGTTTTGTTGTTTCTTCAAATATTAATTTCTATTTCTTTCATTTTTCCCTCGATTCGCAAGGCTTTTTTGCGTCCTTCTTCCACTTTCTCGCCTGATTACTCCTATTTTTTTTCATTTCTCTCTCTTCAACGCCAACAAACCAGCAAGGTCGCCCGATTTCACACCCCTTCATCAAGCATTAAACCGACGTTTTTTCCTCTCTCTTTCGTATCAAAATTCGAAAAGAAATCCCGAACCCTTGAATATTTATCCAACGAGTATCACAAATGCCGGCGGCCCTTTTCGGCATAAAAATCCCCTTTAAAATAATATTTGTGCAATGCACGGGGTAACAACTCGCCACAAAAGGGCTTGTTTTTCCAGCCTCCCTATGTGGTTTTAACTTAAATATCTGTGCACGACCCTGGAAATAACGTATTGATCTTTGATTTGGTGGCGGCGCTCGCTCGGGGGCGGCACCACCGATGCTTCATTTATACAGGGTGTCTTAATGAACTTTAATGGTAAAATGAAAAAAAAATTGTATAAGACATTGATAGATCACCCAAAATTATTTTCAACTATACAGCATGTCCCAAAAATAAGTTACGATATATACTTGTGTTTTTTTAAATGAAACAGCATGTTTCATAGCATTTTTGGACATTTTTTTAACGAAAACAAGCACTTTTTAAAAATT